CGGTTAGCAACTAGGAAGAGAAAGAGACAACGCTCTCCGTCTTCCTCTGATTCCGATCAATCATCGTATCGAGAGCGTCAGCGGCGCAGGGGTTCGTCGCACCGACACTCGCGCAATCGTCGGCTTCGTACGAGGTCACCGGACCCTTCGCCAATTTCTGTTGAAGGGAGACACTTGGGTGAAGGCGCCGATGACTGCGATGGAGATGAGGACGATATTCCTTTAGCGGTTCTGGCCCAAAGGCCCACCGCCGCCACCGACAGGGATGGCGGGAATGAAAGAGGTAAATAATTTAAATAAAAACAATTAAATTTTTTATTATGCTAGGTTATGGTACCTAACAGAATCTACTGACCTTAAGGAGATATAATCTGCTTATGGCAGCAGTTTATTATGTAGTCCTGCTTATGGTAGCAGATGTAAAATATTATGGTGTATTTTACATATTGACTCAATTCCTGCCAACGCAGTCCTGCTTATGGTAGCAGATGACAGATGTAAAATATTATGGTGTTTTTTACATAATGACTCGATTCCTGCCAACAGTTGTATTTTTTGTCATTTGGTGTTTTCTCCTTTCAGAGCAAATACCCAGCGAGGATGCACCGGCTCCCTCGCTTCTCAATGAGAATGTTCTGGCGTTGTTGGGTGATGAAGAGCCCATTCAGGAACCAGTTGGTCCCAAAATTCATTCGGACTTGGCAGCTAGATGGACAGGTTTATTGGAAAGAGGTTTGAGAGAAGAGGCGTTAACTAATTTAATTAAAAAATATCCACCATTAGAAAATTGTTTGCTTCTAAAAAGTCCACGGCTGAACGCTGAGGTGAAGTCAGCGATTAGTGAACAGGTCATGCGTCGGGATGACAACCTCGTCTCATTGCAAACCCAGGTGGGTTCCGCTCTCTCGGCCCTAGGCCTCTTATTGTCTGAACTCCTCTCAGAAAAAGGGGGGGAGGATAAAAATAGGCAGATTGAGCTAGCTAGCGATGCGAGTCGTTTGTTATTAGACATCCACCACAAATATTCTGGAATCCGGCGAGACCTGGTGGCCCTAAATCTTAGAAAGGACCTCAAGGATACCTTAAATAATGTTGCAGCAGATGGGTGGCTGTTTGGAAGCGATTTGGGCGACAGAATTAAGGCCAATAGGGACATTAAGAAAACCGCTTTGGATTTGAAGCCTGCCAGTTCGTCTAAAAAACCTGGGTTTTCTGCAGTCAAGAAAAAGACTTCTTTAAACTGGCGCCGTCCACTTCGTCAGGCAGTCGAGGGAACCAGTCGGGGTGGACAAGGTCAGAACAAGAACTCAACTTCGGGCCAGCGACGCCAGGGACATCATCATCAGAGTCAGCGAGACTCGTACACTCGGGGCCATCAATCCAGGTCGAATGTTCGACCCAGAGACAAGCACCGGAAGTATTAAATCAGGTGTGTCCTTTAGTTGGTAAGCTTCGACATTTTTTACCAGCTTGGCAGGGTATCACCCAGGATAAAAATATTTTATCCTGGATTTCTGGTCTTAAATTACCCTTTGTAAGCTATCCTGTTCAGAGACGCCAACCTTCTGAGCGAGGTTGGTCTGGTTCCGAGAAAATTTTTCTCAATGAATCTATTAAAGAGCTTTTGGAATTAGGCGCTATAGAAAGGGTAAATCATGTCAAACGAGAATTTATCTCTAGTATTTTCTTAGTGCCTAAGCCCGATGGTTCTAGGCGACTTATTTTAAATTTAAAATCCTTGAATGTTTTTATTAAAAAGAGACATTTTAAATTAGAAGATCAGAAGGCAGTTTGCAATATCTTACAGCAGAATCATTACATGTGTACTGTAGATCTAAAAAATGCATATTTTTTAATACCTGTTGCTAAAAAATATAGGAAATTTTTACGCTTCAAATTTGCAGGAAAAATTTTTGAATATACGTGTATGCCCTTTGGCCTAAATTGTGCTCCATATATTTTTACAAAACTGATGAAGCCAATTATTGCCCTTTTAAGAGAAAAAGGTCTTCTTTCAGTTTTGTATTTGGACGATTTTTTATTGTTTGGAAACTCCTTTGAGGAATGTGCTGATAATGTTAAAATCACTATTTCTACATTAGAGCGGCTTGGTTTTGTTGTAAATTATGAAAAAAGTATGTTGACACCTTCACAAACTTGTCGGTATCTAGGGTTTATCTATAATTCAGTTCATATGACTGTTTCAGTTCCCGAAGATAAAAAATCAGCTATTTTGAAATTAATAAGACAAATTTTAAGAACAGACAGATGCAGTATACGCTTTTTTGCTCAGTTTGTGGGCAAGATAGTTGCTATATGCCCGGCTGTTTGTTATGGTTGGGTGTACACCAAGCTAATGGAACGAGAGAAGTTTTTAGCGTTGCAGCGTTCGAGGGGAAATTATGACAAAACCATGACAATTTCACCCATTTTGCATCATGATCTTAGGTGGTGGTTGCATAGCATCCCAAATGGATCAAATTGTATAAGAAGGGATTCCTTTTCTTTAGAAATATTTTCGGATGCATGTTTGACAGGTTGGGGTGCATGTTGTGCTGATATGAAGACTAATGGTTTCTGGTCTTCCAGTGAGAGTCAAGAACATATAAATTTCCTCGAGCTAAAAGCAGCATTTTTTGCCCTTAAATGCTTCGCCAATAACCTTCGTAGTCTGAATATTTTGTTAAGAATAGATAACACTACCGCCATTGCCTATATTAACAGAATGGGGGGTGTCCAGTACCCCAAGTTGAACAATCTTTGTTCGAGTATTTGGCACTGGTGTGAGGAACGAAAACTTTATATTTTTGCTTCCTACATAAACTCGAAGGACAATTTTATGGCGGATGAACAATCTAGGAAAGTAAATTTTGAAACAGAATGGAAGTTAAATGATGAATATTATAATCGAATACTTTCCTCTTTTGGCACTCCAGAGATAGACCTTTTTGCGAGTCGATTGAACAAAAAATGTTCTAAATTTGTCTCTTGGCATCGAGACCCCGAAGCTTTCTGGGTAGATGCCTTTACTTTAAGTTGGGAAGGTGAAAAGTTTTATGCCTTTCCCCCTTTTTCCTTGATCCTTCGTGTCTTACAGAAAATTATTCAGGATAAGGCCGAAGGAATTGTGGTTGTCCCGTATTGGCCTACGCAACCTTGGTTCCCTATTTTTACTTCCCTGCAAAAATGTCCTGCAATCTATTTTCATCCTAATAAAAATTTACTTTTATCTCTTGATAGATCGACGCCACACCCCATCTGGTCACAGCTTACCCTGGCTGTCGGGCTTTTATCCGGCAAGCGTTAGAGCTACGAGGAGTACCAACTGCTGCTTTAGATGTATGCCTCGCTTCCATTACAGCATCTACTATGAAACAATATAATACTGGTTTAAAATTATGGTGGCGGTTTTGTGGTAAAAGAAAGGTGAATTGTTTTGCCGCATCTATCCCAGTTATTATAGAGTTCCTGCAAAAGCAATTTGATGGAGGCGCTGCCTATGGAACCCTAAATTCTTTTAGATCTTCTATAGCCTTGATTCTCGGGCCAGAAGTAGCACAAGACTCCAGATTAAAACGGTTTTTTAAAGGTATTTTTCATCTAAGGCCGAGTAGGCCAAAATACGTTAATACATGGGATCCCACTGTGGTTTTGACTTATTTGCGAGGATTAAATAATAACACCATTTCCTTAGAGCTTCTCTCTTGTAAACTAGCTATGCTATTAGCTCTTGCCTCGGGGCAGAGGGTGCAGACTTTGTCACTGATCGAGTTGAACAATATACAATGTTCAGATCAGGGTGTAAATATTTTTGTTCGCAAAAGAATCAAATCTTCCGGCCCTCATAAGCTGCAACCTGTCATTTCTTTTCCCTTTTATACAGCTGACCAGGATATTTGTGTAGCTACAACTTTACTTTTCTATATACAGAAAACAAAACCGCTTCGTGATGGTACCACTTGTAGTAATTTACTGATAACATTCAAAAAACCCCATCATGATGCTTCATCTCAATCAATCTCGCGATGGATTCGGAAGATGATGCATAATGCTGGGATTGATACATCGATATATGGGTCTCATTCAACGCGACATGCTTCGACATCCTTGGCTGATAGAAAGGGTATATCAATGGATATAATCAGATCAGCAGCCGGTTGGTCCCAAGATTCTAGGACCTTCGCGATTTTTTATAAAAGACCCATTAACGATGCATACAGTTTTTCAAAAGCAGTGCTTAGTCCATAATAGTTATGTTATATTTTTATTTATGAGAATAATTTTTGAGTTCCTTTAAGTTTCATTTCATTTACATTTAAAGCCTTAGTAATTAGGTAAAAATTAGAGGATCTTATTTCTGTTTTTTCAGTAAAAGATTGTTATTTTGTTCGTTATTTATTTAGCATGTTTCTAAATAAATGCGATGCACTGAGTTGGGTTAGTTACAATTCGGTGCAGAAAATTATACAGTTAATTATTTTCTTTGAACATCTACAATTGTTCTTATTTACGAGACGAGGACGAAATATAATTACTAGATCAAACGAACTTACCTGAAGTGAAGTTCGATCGTAATTATATGAAGTCCTCGTCGAAGTAAATAAGACCCACCCTTCCCTTTGGCATTATAATGCAACCCCTTTTGTTTAACTGTAGTAATTTTCAGCAAACTCTTTAAAGAATGATTTAGTGGAGCAGTGCGGGAATAGACCGGCGCTGCGCTGCGCAGGCGTAGTAAAGCGTTTTTTTTACGCTTTGGGCTTTGAAATTCGTGGAATTCGGCATGGATTGGGGAAACTACAATTGTTCTTATTTACTTCGACGAGGACTTCATATAATTACGATCGAACTTCACTTCAGGTAAGTTCGTTTGATCTAGTAATAGATTTTTTTTTGTCGAAATTAAAAAAATTTCTTCGAAATATCCAGCAGCATCTATGATGACGTCATTAATTTTGTGAAAAAGAAAAATTAAAAATTAATAACCTTGAACTTAACATGTAAATTTAAACCTATAAATAAACAATGAATATTTTTCAATACTGCAAGCATCTACGATGACGTCATCATTTTGTACTTAGATCCTAGCTCTAGACACGCCAAATAAAATAACATTACTAGCGCCATCTATCAAACAAAAGCCAAAGCTTTTTTTAAAAAAGAAAACTGTAATTTTTAATTTTTTTTTTAGTTCGGCTATTGATTAGTAGATGGCGCCACTATTAAAATTGTTTATTTTCATTGTGGTTTTTTTTGAGGTTAGAAAATATTGAAATTCCGTTAAAATGGATTTAAATTTCCAGGAAATCGCCCGGGAATTGGAGGAAATCGAGTCCCGATTCACGCCCAAGCGAAAATGTCCCAGAATTTCCAGGAATTTACACGAAAATCTGGAAATTTTATCAAAAGTACATAATTTTTTCCAAGTGAAAACACTATTATTTTTATTTGTGATTTTTTTTTTCTAGGAATTTGACTGTTTAGGCCTGCCGACTGTCAAAACAGACGAAACGTTGCCGGAAATTCTAGAACAAGTTGTCAATTCCGCAAGGAATTTGATCCAAATTCATAGAAATTCAATCAAAAATATCAAAGACAAAAACATTGAAAAAGTTTCTAGAGAAAAAAGGCACCAGGAATTACAGGAAAACTTGCAACACTGCAAAGAAAATTGCAGGAAAATCCAACAAAATTGTAAAAGCCTAGAAAATACCAACTCAATCCTGGAAAACCAACTGAAATCCTTGAAAAACCTGGAAAAAACCCACCAAAAAACCCTGGACCAAACCAAACGTCACTTGCTGTCAAAGCAGCGCCATCTCGAGTTGGAAATCAAAAACTCCCAATCTGAAATTGACAGGCTTAAGCAAATTTGTGGACAAAAATTACCATCCAAAGACGAAATTGCATTAAAAATGATCCAGAAATTCAAAATAAATGAGGAAATTTACAAGGAAACTATTAGGGCTCTGCAGGACAACAACAGCGCCCTCTTGCAGGAAGTTTTCAATTTAAAAGAGGAGATTTTGTTGGGCAAATGATGAATAAATTGTGTGTTTGCTGCAAGTGGTCTCTATTTTTTTTTTATGCACATAGTCTCTATTTGATGCACATAATCTCTATTTCTGTTTTCTGCATTTGGTCTCTCTATTTTGTTTGCATATAATCTCTATTTTGGCACATGGTATCTATTTTGCTTATAATAGATTGCACATAATCTCTATTTTTGCACATGATCTCTATTCAATGCACATGATCTCTATTTTTTACACATGACCAATTTTTTGACAATAAAAACTTTTGAATAAAAATAAATGCATTTTTTTTTAAGTCGAATGTTGCAATTTTCAAGTACATACTGAAAAGTACTTGAAAATAATTTTAAAAATGTTAAAGAGTACTTGAAAAAAAAAATTGAAAACTTAAAAGGCGATTTAACACTGTTCAAAAATATGTAAGTGCTTGAAAATTTTCTTTAAAACTTCAAGTTCAACTTTAAAGTGTCGAAAAGTACTTGAAAATTTTCAAAAACTTAAAAACTAATTTGAAACCGTTAAGAATAAGTACTTGAAAACACTTTTAAAAAGTACATACTTGAAAATAAATTTAAAGTTGTTTTCCACATTAAAGTGTTGAAAAGTACTTAAAAATTATTTTTCAATTTTTTAATGGTTTTCAAAATTTATTTCAAGTACTTTTCAATAACTTTAAAGTGTGTAAAAGTATTTTTAGGTACTTATTTTTAACAGTTTTAATTCAGTTTTCAAGTACTTTTAATAAGTATTTTTTATTATTTTCAAGTATTTTTTATCACTTACAAGTTTCAAAAAAAAAATTCAAATACTTCATTTTTTAAACAATTTTTTTTTTTTTCAAGTTTTCAAAATTTGTTTCAAGTACTTTTTAACAACTTTAAAGTTATTTTCAGGTATTTTTCAACACTTTAAAATTATTTCATGTACTTATTTTTGACAGTTTTTATTTAGTTTTCAAGTACTTTTAATGAGTACTTTCCAATATTTTCAAGTATTATTCAACAGTTTCAAGTTTCAAAAATATTTTCAAGTACTTAATTTTTCAAACAGTTTTAAAATTGGTTTTGAAATTTTTTAAAGTTTAGAAAATTTGTTCCAAGTACTTTTTAACAAATTTAAAGTTATTTTCAAAAGTGTTTTCAAGTACTTGAAGTACTTATTATTGTTGATTTCCAATTAATTTTCAAGTACTTTTCAACACTTTGGAATGACTCTTGAAATTTAGAAAAAAAAAATTAAAGTACTCTATTCTTAAACAGTGTAAAATCGTTTTTTCAAGTTTTCAAAACATTTTTCTAATACTTTTTAACAACTTTAAAATTATTTTAAAGTAGTTTTCAAGTACATATTTTTGACAGCTTCAAATTAGTTTTGAAGTTCTTGAAAATTTTCAAGTACTTTTCGACACTTTAAAGTTGAACTTGAAGTTTTAAAGAAAATTTTCAAGTACTTATTTTTGAAATGTAAAATCGCTTTTTAAAGTTTTCAAAACTTTTTTCAAGTACTTTTCAACAACTTTAAAATTATTTTCAAGTACTTTTTAAAAGTGTTTTCAAGTACTTATTTTTAACAGCTTTAATTTAGTTTTCAAGTTTTTGAAATTTTTTAAGTATTTTCCAACACTTTACAGTTGAATTTGAAGTTTTAAAGAAAATTTTCAAGTACCTATTTTTGAACAATGTAAAATTGCTTTTTAAGTTTTTTAAAGTTTACAAAACATGTTTCAAGTACTTTTAAACAACTTGAAAGTTATTTTCAAAGTGTTGTCAAATACTTATTTTTTGACAGTTCCAAATTAGTTTTCAAGTTTTTGAAAGTTTTCAAATACTCTTCAACACTTTTAAGTGGAACCTAAAGTTCTAAAGGTTTTTTCAAGTACTTATTTTTGACAGTTTCAATATTTTTAAGTACTTTTTAACACTTCGAAGTTTAAAAAAAAAATTCAAGTACTTAATTTTTTAAACAGATTTAAAATTAGTTTTGAAATTTTTTAAAGTATTCAAAACTTATTTTAAGTATTTTTTAACAATTTTAAAAAAATTTCAAGTACTTGAAAATAATGAAAAGTACTTACTAAAATTACTTGAAAACTAAATTAAAACTGTCGAAAATAAGTACCTAAAAGAACTTTTGAAATTTCGAATTTTAGATTATAGTGTTAAAAAGTACTTGAAAATATACTTTAAAGTTGATAAAAAGTACTTGAAATAAATTATAAAAACTTTAAAAATTTTTAAAACTATTCAAAAAATTAGGTACTTGCAAATTTTTTGAAAATTGAAAGTGTTGAAAAGTATTTGAAAATATTTAAAAATACTCATCAAAAATACTTGAAAACTGAATTGAAACTGTTAAAAACAAGTACTTGAAATTTCCAAATGTTGAAAAATACTTGAAAAAATTTCAAAAAAAAAACACTTTCTTCTTTAACTTTAAGTTCAACATGTTGAAAAGTACTTGAAAAAATTTTCAAAACTTTAAAATGATAAAAAGTACTTGAAAGTATAAAAAAATACTCATTAAAGTTTTGAAAAGTACTTGAAAACTTAATTTAAACTGTCAAAAATAAGTACTTGAAAAAATTTTCAAAATTTTGAAAATTTCTAAGAAAAATCGTTTTTTTTAACAAAAAAATCCGACGTAAACAAACAAGTACTTGAAACTTTAAAGTATTGAAAAGTACTTGAAAAAACTTCCAAAATTTCGAAAACTTTCAAGAAAAATTTCCCAAAGAGAAAATCGCAATCCGACGTAATCAAGCGAATACTTGAAACTTTAAAGTACTGAAAAGTACTTGAAATAACTCTCAATACTTGGAAAATTTCCAAGAAAAATTTCACCAAAAAAGAAAATCGCTTATTTAAACAAAAAAATCCAAACATGTACTTGAAACTTGAAACTTTAAAATATTGAAAGTACTTGCAAAAAACTTGAAAACTTCGAAAAAAAACTAACAAGAATTTGCTAAAAAAATAATAAAAAACCCGATATCAACAACCAAGTACTTGAAACTTCAAAGTATTGAAAAGTACTTGAAAAAATTTCGAAACTTGGAAAATTTCGAAAAAAAAATTTGAGAAGAATTTGCCGAAAAAAAAAATAGAAAAAACCAATATAAACAAGCAAGAACTTGAAACTTTGAAGTATCAAAAAGTACTTGAAAAAACTTTTAAAAACTTGGAAAATTTCAATAAAAATCCAAGCAAAATTGAATCGCTCATTTAAAAAAAAAATTTGATGCAAAAAAATACATATGTACTTGAAAATTTAAGTTCAAATTTAAAGTACCTATTGAAAAGTACTTAAAAAAAAATCAAAAAAAAAATCAACAAAAATTCGATGCAAACAAACAAGTATGTACTTGAAAATATGAATTCAACTTTAAAGTACTTATTGGAAAAAAGTACTTGAAACTTCAAAGTATTAAAAAGTACTCCAAGAAAAAAATTCCAAAAAAAGAAAATCGCTTTTACAAAAAAAAAAAAACGACATAATTAAACAAGTACTTAAAACTTTAAAGTATTCAAAAGTACTTGAAAAAAACTTCAAAACTTGGAAAATTTTACTACTACAGTACTTGAAATTAACTTCAAAATATAAATTAAGGACTCATTAAAATGTTTAAAAGTACTTGAAAACTAAATTAAAACTGTAAAACATAAGTACTTGAATCAACTTTAGAAATATCAATACTTGAAATTAATTTCAAAGTATTAAATTAAATATTTAAGAGTACTTAAAAATTAAATTAGAACTGTGAAAAATAAGTACTTGAAACAACTTTCCAAACTTCAGTACTTGAAATTAACTTTGACATATTAAAAATTACTTATTCAAATGTTTAAAAGTACTTAAAATTTATTTTAAAGTATTCAAAAAAAATACTTGAAACATTTTTTTTAAACTTTAAATTTAAATTTAAAGTATTAAAAAGTACTTGAAAATGACTTTAAAAGGAACAATATTAAAAGCAGTTTTAAATTGTTAAAGACTAAGACTTGAAATTTTAAATCCAATTTTTAAAAGTGTTGAAAAGTACTTGGAAAAATTTTGAAAACTTAAATAAAAATCCAAGAAAATTTTGAAAAAAAATCCAATATTAACAAACAAGTACTTGAAACTTCAAGTTCAATTTTAAAGTACTCGAAAAAATTTCAAAACTTGGAAATTTTCGAGGAAAATTTGGCAAGAAAAAAAAACGCTTTTTCAAAAAAAAAATGCGATGTTAACAAAAAAAAAGTACTTGAAACTTCAAGTACAACTTTAAAGTATTGAAAAGTACTTGGAAAACTTCCAAAAACTTGGAAAATTCTGATAAAAATCAAAAAAAGAAAATCGTTTATTTTAAGGAAAAATCCGATGTAAACGCACCTAAATCTTTTAAATACAATTTCCATAGTTGACTCGATTGACCACAGATGGCGCTCCGTATCAACTCAATGCAATTGAGTCAGTTTACATTGAAAACCTTTTTGGGGCAAAATTCAAAAATAACGCAATTATAATTAAATTTTTAACTCAGAATATTTTTTTTCGACTCAGAAATTTTTTTCTTGACTCAGAAAAAATATTTTTCACTTGAATATTGACTCAGAAAAATTTTCTATAACTTTTTTTGAATTTTTAATTAAGGCAAAATCCAAGAATAACGCAAATAAACTAGAATTTTCATCTCAGAAATTTTTGTCTCGACTCAGAAAAAATATTTTCTACTCGAATATTGACTCGGAAAAAATATTTTCTACTTTAATATTGACTCAGAAAAATTTTCTTTGACTTTTCTTGAATTAGTATTTAAGGTAAAATCCATAAATAACGCAAAAAATTAGAATTTTCGATTCAGAATTTTTTTTCACGACTCAGAAAAAATATTTTCTACTTAAATATTGACTCAGAAAAATTTTCTTTGACTTTTTTTGAATTTTTAATCAAGGCAAAATCCAAACATAACGCAAAAAAATTAGAATTTTCGATTCAGGATTTTTTTTCACGACTCAGAAAATATATTTTCTACTTAAATATTGACTCAGAAAAATTTTCTTTGGACTTTTTTTGATTTTTAAATGAAGGCAAAATCCAAAAATCACACAAAAAAAATAGAATTTTCGACTCATAATTTTTTTTCACGACAGAAAAAATATTTTCTACTTAAATATCGACTCAGAAAATTTTTCTTTGACTTTTTTTAAATTTTTAAGTAAGGCAAAATCCATAAATAACGCAAAAAAATAGAATTTTCGATTCAGAATTTTTTTTCACGACTCAGAAAAAATATTTTCTACTCAAATATCGACTCAGAAAAATTTTCTTTGACTTTTTTTGAATTTTTAATTAAGGTAAAATCCAAAAATAACCCAAAAAAAATTAGAATTTTCGACTCAGTTTATTTTTCACGACTCAGAAAAAATATTTTCTACTTAAATATCGACACAGAAAATTTTTCTTTGGACTTTTTTTGAAATTTTAATTAAGGCAAAATCAATAAATAACGCAAAAAAATAGAATTTTCGATTCAGAATTTTTTTTCACGACTCAGAAAAAAAAATTTCTACTTAAATATCGACTCAGAAAAATTTTCTTTGACTTTTTTTGAATTTTTAATCAAGGCAAAATATAAAAATAATCCAAAAAAAATTAGAATTTTCGACTCAGAATTTTTTTTCACGACTCAGAAAAAATATTTTCTACTTAAATATCGACTAAGAAAAATTTTCTTTGACTTTTCTTGAATTTGTAATTAAGGCAAAATCCAAAAATAACACAAAAAAATTAGAATTTTCGACTCAGAATTTTTTTTTCACGACTCAGAAAAAATATTTTCTACTTAAATATCGACTCAGAAAAATTTTCTTTGACATTTTTTGAATTTTTAATCAAGGCAAAATCCAAAAATAATCCAAAAAAAATTAGAATTTTCGACTCAGAAAAAATATTTTCTACTTAAATATCGACTCAGAAAAATTTTCTTTGACTTTCTTTGAATTTTTAATCAAGGCAAAATCCAAAAATAACCCAAAAAAAATTAGAATTTTCGACTCAGAATTTTTTTTCACGACTCAGAAAAAATATTTTCTACTCAAATATCGACTCAGAAAAATTTTCTTTGACTTTTTTTGAATTTTAAATCAAGGCAAAATCAATAAATAACGCAAAAAAATAGAATTTTCGATTCAGAATTTTTTTTCACAACTCAGAAAAAAAAAATTCTACTCAAATATCGACTCAGAAAAATTTTCTTTGACTCTTTTTGAATTTTTAATTAAGGCAAAATCCAAAAATAACCCAAAAAAAATTAGAATTTTCGACTCAGATTTTTTTTTTTTACGACTCAGAAAAAATATTTTCTAATTAAATATCGACTCAGAAACATTTTCTTTGACTTTTTTTGAATTTTTAATTAAGGCAAAATCAATAAATAACGCAAAAAAATAGAATTTTCGATTCAGAATTTTTTTTCACGACTCAGAAAAAATAGTTTCTACTTAAATATAGACTCAGAAAAATTTTCTTTGACTTTTTTGAATTTTTAATGAAGGCAAAATCCATAAATAACGCAAAAAAATAGAATTTTCGATTCAGAATTTTTTTTCACGACTCAGAAAAAATATTTTCCACTTAAATATCGACTCAGAAAAATTTTCTTTGACTTTTTTTGATTTTTTAATGAAGGCAAAATCCAAAAATCACACAAAAAAAATAGAATTTTCGACTCATAATTTTTTTTCACGACTCAGAAAAAATATTTTCTACTTAAATATCGACTCAGAAAAATTTTCTTTGACTTTTTTTGAATTTTTAATTAAGGCAAAATCCAAAAATAACCCAAAAAAAATTAGAATTTTCGACTCAGATTTTTTTTTCACGACTCAGAAAAAATATTTTCTAATTAAATATCGACTCAGAAAAATTTTCTTTCACTTTTTTTGAATTTTTAATTAAGGTAAAATCCAAAAATAACCCAAAAAAAATAGAATTTTCGATTCAGAATTTTTTTTCACGACTCAGAAAAAATATTTTCCACTTAAATATCGACTCAGAAAAATTTTCTTTGACTTTTTTTGATTTTTTAATGAAGGCAAAATCCAAAAATCACACAAAAAAAATAGAATTTTCGACTCAGAATTTTTTTTCACGACTCAGAAAAAAAAAATTCTACTTAAATATCGACTCAGAAAATTTTTTTTTTACTTTTTTTGAATTTTTAATCAAGGCAAAATCCAAAAATGACCCAAAAAAAATTAGAATTTTCGACTCAGAAAAAATATTTTCTACTTAAATATCGACTCAGAAAAATTTTCTTTGACTTTTTTTGAATTTTTAATTAAGGCAAAATCAATAAATAACGCAAAAAAATAGAATTTTCGATTCAGAATTTTTTTTCACGACTCAGAAAAAATATTTTCTACTCAAATATCGACTCAGAAAAATTTTCTTTGACTTTTTTTGAATTTTTAATTAAGGCAAAATCCATAAATAACGCAAAAAAATAGAATTTTCGATTCAGAATTTTTTTTCACGACTCAGAAAAAATATTTTCTACTCAAATATCGACTCAGAAAAATTTTCTTTGACTTTTTTTGAATTTTTAATTAAGGCAAAATCCATAAATAACGCAAAAAAATAGAATTTTCGATTCAGAATTTTTTTTCACGACTCAGAAAAAATATTTTCTACTCAAATATCGACTCAGAAAAATTTTCTTTGACTTTTTTTGAATTTTTAATTAAGGCAAAATCCAAAAATAACACAAAAAAATTAGAATTTTCGACTCAGAATTTTTTTTCACGACTCAGAAAAAAAAATTCTACTTAAATATCGACTCAGAAAAATTTTCTTTGACTTTTTTTGATTTTTTAATGAAGGCAAAATCCAAAAATAACCCAAAAAAAATTAGAATTTTCGACTCAGAATTTTTTTTCACGACTCAAAAAAAAAAATTTCTACTCAAATATCGACTCAGAAAAATTTTCTTTGACTTTTTTTGAATTTTTAATTAAGGTAAAATCCAAAAATAACCCAAAAAAAAATTAGAATTTTCGACTCAGAATTTTTTTTCACGACTCAGAAAAAAAAATTTCTACTTAAATATCGACTCAGAAAAATTTTCTTTGACTTTTTTTGAATTTTTAATTAAGGCAAAATCCAAAAATAACCCAAAAAAAATTAGAATTTTCGACTCAGATTTTTTTTTCACGACTCAGAAAAAATATTTTCTAATTAAATATCGACTCAGAAAAATTTTCTTTGACTTTTTTTGAATTTTTAATCAAGGTAAAATCCAAAAATAACCCAAAAAAAATTAGAATTTTCGACCCAGAATTTTTTTTCACGACTCAGAAAAAAAAAAATTCTACTTAAATATCGACTCAGAAAATTTTTTTTTTACTTTTTTTGAATTTTTAATCAAGGCAAAATCCAAAAATGACCCAAAAAAAATTAGAATTTTCGACTCAGAAAAAATATTTTCTACTTAAATATCGACTCAGAAAAATTTTCTTTGACTTTTTTTGAATTTTTAATCAAGGTAAAATCCAAAAATAACCCAAAAAAAATTAGAATTTTCGACTCAGAATTTTTTTTCACGACTCAGAAAAAAAAATTTCTACTTAAATATCGACTCAGAAAAATTTTCTTTGACTTTTTTTGAATTTTTAATCAAGGCAAAATCCAAAAATGACCCAAAAAAAATTAGAATTTTCGACTCAGAAAAAATATTTTCTACTTAAATATCGACTCAGAAAAATTTTCTTTGACTTTTTTTGAATTTTTAATTAAGGTAAAATCCAAAAATAACCCAAAAAAAATTAGAATTTTCGACTCAGAATTTTTTTTCACGACTCAGAAAAAAAAAATTCTACTTAAATATCGACTCAGAAAAATTTTCTTTGACTTTTTTTGAATTTGTAATAGAGGCAAAATCCAAAAATGACGCAAAAAAATTAGAATTTTCGACTCAGAATTTTTTTTCACGACAGAAAAAATATTTTCCACTCAAATATCGACTCAGAAAAATTTTCTTTGACTTTTTTTGAATTTTTAATTGAGGCAAAATCCAAAAATAACGCAAAAAAATTAGAATTTTTGACAGAGTTTTTTTTCACGACTCAGAAAAAATATTTTCTAATTAAATATCGACTCAGAAAAATTTTCTTTTGAATCAGAAAAAATATTTTCTACTCGAATATTGACTCAGAAAAATTTTCTTTAAATTTTCTTGAATTTTTAATTAAGGCTTCATCCAAAAATAACGTAGAAAAATTAGAATTTTCGACTCAGAATTTTTTTTCACGACTTGGAAAAAATATTTTCTACTTAAATATTGACTCAGAAAAATTTTCTTTAACTTTTCTTGAATTTTTAATTAAAACTTAATCGAAAAATAACGCAAAAAAATTAGAATTTTCAACTCAGAATTTTTTTTTCACGTCTCAGAGAAAATATTTTCTACTCAGAAAAATTTTCTTTGACTTTTCTCGAATTAGTATTTAAGGCAAAATCGGAAAATAACACAAAAAAATTAGAACTTTCGACTCAGAATTTTTTTTCACGACTCAGAAAAAATATTTTCTACTTAAATATCGACTCAGAAAAATTTTCTTTGACTTTTTTTGAATTTTTAATTCAGGCAAAAGCCAAAAATAACAAAAAAATCAGAATTCCTGACTCAGAAAAGATATTTTCTACTCGAACATTGACTCAGAAAAATGTTCTTCAACTTTTCTCGAATTTTTAATAAAGGCAAAATCCAAAAATAACGCAAAAAAATCAAACTCAGAAAAAATATTTTCTACTTGAATATTGACTCAGAAATATTTTCTATAAATTTTCTTGAATTTTTAATTGAGGCAAAATCCAAAAATAACGCAAAAAAATCAGAATTTCTGACTCAGAAAAAATATTTTCTACTCGAATATCGACTCAGAAAAATTTTCTTTAACTTTTTTCGAATTTTCAATTGGGGCAAAACCCAAAAATAACGCGAAAAAACTAGAATTTTCGACTCCCGTTAAAAATTCGTGAAATTATTTTTCTGACCCACATGAAATCGAAATGAGGCCGAAGAAAAACCGCCACTGCACTGGTTCAGTCGACGACCGCCGACCATCGTGAAAGGTCGATTCATTTAATCCGTTGTACACAATTAAATTAATTATCATATTGAAGGAAGTGCAGCGTATAAGGAATTTTATTTTTAGTTTAGTGAAAAGTGCAGTTTTCTTTGTTGTTTTTTCTCTATAGTAAAAGAAGTGAGTGAGCATGTTTTTTTCTTTGTAATAAAAAGAGATAGAAGAGAAAGTGGTGCCCCGAAATTGTTTATCAGGTCATACGTTAAATGTACAGTTAATAAAATTTTCAAATAATGCAAAATTGAGGCTGTTCACCTCTATCTTTGTGGTCCTTTACCTCAAAAAGTACTTTCACTATTTTATATTAGAATCTTCTTTTGAAAAAATGACCACAATTTTTGTGCGTAAAATACCATTTACCGCACTTTGAAATATTAAGAATCACGATTCATCGATTCCATAATAATTTGTTATTACATTGTTTAAAGAAGAAAAAAATATTTATCTTTTGTGGTATGTGGCAATATGAATTATTGATAAAAATTGTTTATATTTATTTAAAAATAAATTTATTGATTAGAAATAATTATTATCATTAATTATGTGTATTTTTTCCAGCTGAAAATGGTAAAAATCAAACACTTACTGGCACTATGTGCCTGTATTCAAGGTAAACATTTATTTATTTATTATTTATTTATTTATTTATTTGTTTAGAAAAATAATTTTTTTTTTTTTTTTTAAAGTCAGCCTCTTCAGCCTCTTACAAGGGCTTGACAATAGGGCAGTTAGGCTGTGACCATTTAATTAACACAGCCACAGCCTCACTCCACTTTACAAGCCTTTTTTTTTTTTTCGTAGGAATATTAACTACGCCACTGGGCTACACAATAACCCAAGACGATTGGGACTACAAAATCCAACAGAAAAACGCCCCCGTATTAAAGGCCCGAGCGCAAAATCACACTTTACCGCCCGCCTTTTCGGCCGACGCCAGCACTGTAAGTACGTACAAACAAATAGGTGAATTATTCGAAAAATTAAAAGAAAAAAATTGACAGGTGTCAAATGTCAAAATCGATTTTGACATATTAAGATGTCAGCTATTAAACGCACTTTATCTCGAATTTTTCTGACATCTCCTTGTCACTTTTTTCAGGGAAAACGTAGACAAAATGACACCTGTCAAATTTTTCAATAGGTCCAAAAAATTTTAAATATTTTTTTACATAAATACCGCATAAATTAATCGGAAAATAAAAAATAAAAAATTTGACAGGTGTCAAATGTCAAATTCGATTTTGATAGAATAAGACGGCAGCTATCGAACGCATTTTATCTCGAATTTTTCTGACATCTCCTTGTCACTTTTTTCGGGGAAAACATAGACAAAATGATATCTGTCAAATTTTTTGACAGGTGCAAAAAATTTTAATTTTTTTTTCACATATCTATCACATAAATTATGCGAAAAATTAAAAGAAAAAAAATTTGACAGGTGTCAAATGTCAAAATCGATTTTGACAGATTAGGACGTCAGCTATCGAACGCGCTTTATTTCGAATTTTTCCAACATCTACTTGTTATGTTTTTCAGGGAAAACATAGACAAAATGACATCTGTCAAATTTTTTGACAGGTGCAAAAAAATTTAATTTTTGTTTTACATATCTATCACATAAATTATTCGAAAAATTAAAAGAAAAAAAATTTGACAAGCGTTAAATGTCAAAATCGATTTTGACAGATTAGGACGTCAGCTATCAAACGCACTTTATCTCGAATTTTTCTGACATCTACTTGTCATTTTTTTCAAGGAAAATATAGACAAAATGACACCTGTCAAATTTTTTGACAGGTGCAATTTTTTTTTTTTTTTTTAACATATCTATCACATAAATTATTCGAAAAATTAAAAGGAAAAAATTTGACAGGTGACAAATGTCCAAATAAATTTTGATAGAATAAGACGTCAGCTATCGAACGCACTTTATTTCGAATTTTTCTGACATACTTGTCACTTTTTCCAGAGAAAACATAGACAAAATGACATCTGTCCAATTTTTTGACAGGTGCAATTTTTTTTTTTTTTTTTAACATATCTATCACATAAATTATTCGAAAAATTAAAAGGAAAAAATTTGACAGGTGTCAAATGTCAAATTCGATTTTGATAGAATAAGACGGCAGCTATCGAACGCATTTTATCTCGAATTTTTCTGACATCTCCTTGTCACTTTTTTCGGGGAAAACATAGACAAAATGATATCTGTCAAATTTTTTGACAGGTGCAAAAAATTTTAATTTTTTTTTCACATATCTATCACATAAATTATGCGAAAAATTAAAAGAAAAAAAATTTGACAGGTGTCAAATGTCAAAATCGATTTTGACAGATTAGGACGTCAGCTATCGAACGCGCTTTATTTCGAATTTTTCCAACATCTACTTGTTATGTTTTTCAGGGAAAACATAGACAAAATGACATCTGTCAAATTTTTTGACAGGTGCAAAAAAATTTAATTTTTGTTTTACATATCTATCACATAAATTATTCGAAAAATTAAAAGAAAAAAAATTTGACAAGCGTTAAATGTCAAAATCGATTTTGACAGATTAGGACGTCAGCTATCAAACGCACTTTATCTCGAATTTTTCTGACATCTACTTGTCATTTTTTTCAAGGAAAATACAGACAAAAAGACACCTGTCAAATTTTTTGACAAGTCCAAAAAATTTTAAACATTTTTTTACGTATGTACCGCATAAATTTTTCGAAAAATTAAAAGTTAAAAATTTGACAGGTGTCAAATGTCAAAATAGATTTTGATAGAATAAGACGTCAGCTGTCGAACGCACTTTATATAGAATTTTTCTGACATCTACTTGTCACTTTTTTCAGGGAAAACATGGACAAAATGACACCTGTCAAATTTTCCAACAGGTCCAAAAAATTTTAAACATTTTTTTACATAGATACCGCATAAATTATTCGAGAAATTTAAAAAAAAAAAAATGACAGGTGTCAAATGTCAAAATCAATTTTGACAGATTAGGACGTCAGCTATCAAACGCACTTTATTTCGCATTTTTCTGACATCTACTTGTAACTTTTTTCGGGGAAAACATAAACAAAATGACATCTGTCAAATTTTTTAACAAGTGCAAAACATTTTAATTTTTTTTTTACATATCTATCACGTAAATTATTCGAAAAATAAAAAATAAAAAATTTGACAGGTGTCAAATGTCAAAATCGATTTTGACAGATTAAGACGTCAGCTATCGAACGCACTCTATTTCGAATTTTTCTGACATCTCCTTGTCACTTTTTTTGAGGAAAACATAAACAAAATGACACTTGTCAAATTTTTTGATGGGTTCAAAAAAATTTTAAAAAATTTTTTACATAGATACCGCATAAATTATTCGAAAAATAAAAAATAAAAAATTTGACAGATGTCAAATGTCAAAATCGATTTTAATAGATTAGGACGTCAGCTATCGAACACACTTAATCTCGAATTTTTCTGACATCTAATTGTCACTTTTTTCAGGAAAAACATAAACAAAATGACACCTGTCAAATTTTTTGATAGGTTCAAAAAATTTTTTTACATAGATACCGCATAAATTATTCGAAAAATAAAAAATAAAAAATTTGACAGGTGTCAAATGTCAAAATCGATTTTGACAGATTAAGACGTCAGCTATCGAACGCACTCTATTTCGAATTTTTCTGACATCTCCTTGTCACTTTTTTCAGGGAAAATATAGACAAAATGACACCTGTCAAATTTTTTGATAGGTTCAAAAAATTTTAAACATTTTTTTACATAGACACTGCATAAATTATTCGAGAAATTAAAAGAAAAAAATTTGACAGGTGTCAAATGTTAAAATCGATTTTGACATATTAGGACGTCAACTGTCGAACGCACTTTATCTCGAATTTTTCTGAAATCTATTTGTCACTTTTTTCGGGGAAAACAAAATGACACCTGTCAAATTTTTTGATAAGTCCAAAAAATTTTAAACATTTTTTTTTACGTATAGACCGCATAAATTATTCGAAAAGTTGAAAGTAAAAAATTTGACAGGTGTCAAATATCAAAATCGATTTTCATAAAATAAGACGTCAGTTATCGAACGCACTTTATCTTGAATTTTTCTGACATTTCCTTGTAACTTTTTTCGGGGAAAACATAAACAAAATGACATCTGTCAAATTTTTTAACAAGTGCAAAACATAATTTTTTTTTTTACATATCTATCACGTAAATTATTTGAAAAATTAAAAGTAAAAAATTTGACAGGTGTCAAATGTCAAAATCGATTTTGACAGATTAGGATGTCAGCTACTAAACGCACTTTATCTCGAATTTTTCTGACATCTACTTGTCACTTTTTTCAGGGAAAACATGGACAAAATGACACCTGTCAAATTTTCCAACAGGTCCAAAAAATTTTAAACATTTTTTTACATAGATACCGCATAAATTATTCAAGAAATTTAAAAAAAAAAAATTGACAGGTGTCAAATGTCAAAATCAATTTTGACAGATTAGGACGTCAGCTATCAAACGCACTTTATTTCGCATTTTTCTGACATCTACTTGTCACTTTTTTCGAGGAAAACATAAACAAAATAACATATATCAAATTTTTTGACAGGTGCAAAAAGTTTAAATTTTTTTTTTACATATCTATTACATAAATTATCCGAAAAATTAAAAGAAAAAAAATTTGACAAGTGTCAAATATCAAAATCGATTTTGACAGGTTAAGACGTCAGCTATCGAACGCACTTTATTTCGAATTTTTCTGACATCTAATTGTCACTTTTTTTGACAGGTGCAAAAAAAATTAATTTTTTTTTACATATCTATCACATAAATTATTCGAAAAATTGAAAGAATTTTTTTTTAACAAGTGTCAAATATCAAAATCGATTTTGACAGATTAAGACTTTTTCCTGAATTTTTCTGACATCTCCTTGTCACTTTTTTCAGGGAAAACATAGACAAAATGACACTTGTCAAATTTTTTGATAGGTCCAAAAAATTTTAAACTTTTTTTTACGCATATACCGCATAAACTATTCGAAAAATTAAAAGTAAAAAATTTGACAGGTGTCAAATGTCAAAATCGATTTTGATAGAATAAGACGTCAGCTATTGAACGCACTTTATCTCAAATTTTTCTGACATACTTGTCACTTTTTCCAGAGAAAACATAGACAAAATGACATCTGTCCAATTTTTTGACAGGTGCAATTTTTTTTTTTTTTTTTAACATATCTATCACATAAATTATTCGAAAAATTAAAAGGAAAAAATTTGACAGGTGACAAATGTCCAAATAAATTTTGATAGAATAAGACGTCAGCTATCGAACGCACTTTATTTCGAATTTTTCTGACATCTACTTGTCACTTTTTTCAGGGAAAACATAGACAAAATGATATCTGTCAAATTTTTTGACAGGTCACATAATTTTTTTTTTAATTCCAGGGGCGTCTCATGTGGGGCCTGGACTACAACGACAAATCGACCAATTTGCCGCTTTTTGTGGACAAGGCTTTAAAATTGCTGAATTTAAAACAAGTGGCCTTTGAAATCGAAAATTCCGTCATGTCCCAAGTGTCATGTACAGCTTGCAGAGCCGGTAAATAATTTAATTTTCAATTCGCCATAATGTCAAGAATAACTTCGTTTTTCTTGACAATTTTCAAATTATATTCACCATATTGTCAAGAAACAAAATAATTCTTGACATTTTTAGATTCGCCATAATGTCAAGAATAATTTCGTTTTTCTTGACAATTTTTATGTTAAATTATTTTTCTTGTAATTCAGGCGCCGGGTTGTTGCAGCATTACACGAAAACCGGAAAATCCGAGAAAGAAATCAAAAAAACCATCTACACTTTTTGCATAAATTTGAAAATCCAGTCGCCGAGGGTGTGCGAAGGCATTACCGAACTGTTTGCCGGCGAAGTCATACACGTTTTGGGAAAAGTCAATATCGGTAAAAAGGAAATCTGCAATTTTTTTATTTTTTTTAATGATAATTTTTAGGCCCCGATGAGATTTGCAGTTTTGTAATTGGTGACGCATGTGGCGACATCTATAATCCGTATCACGAATGGGAGGTAGTTTTTCCGCCGGTACCGAAACCTGCAATCATTGATCCGAAAACACCCGAAGTAAGGCAGCGCCATCTATTAACTTTCATTGAAACTAATTTTTCCAGTGGCGCCATCTATTAGGCTTTATTTAAACTATTTTTTTTAGTGGCGCCATCTATTGACATTTTAACTTCCAGCGCCATCTAACTATTTATAATTGATTTTTTTCAGCCCGATGCACCGACATTTAAAGTTTTACACATTTCTGATACCCATTATGATCCTTACTATATGGAAGGCGCAAATGCCGATTGTTCTGAGCCGCTTTGTTGTCGACTTACCAATGGGCATGCGCTGACCAAAGAATCGGCGGCCGGAAAGTAAGCAAAAATGACGTGCGGTAAATTGACACCTGTCAAAATGTCATGATTTTGACAAATAAGATGTCAATTATTAAAATCTTTGTTGACAGCTGTCAAAATTGAGTTTGTAAAAAAATTGACACCTGTCAAAATATCATATAATTTTTACAATGGGATGTCATTATTGAGATTACTGATATTTGAAGTTGATTTTTTTTATTTGATAGCTGTCAAAATTCGAATTTGTAAAAAAAAATTATATCTGTCAAAATGTCACGATTTTGACAATACGATGTCAATTATTAAAGTCGTAGATAAAATCTTTGTTGATTGAAATTGGAAATTTTTTTGACAGCTGTCAAAATTTACTTTTTTTTTAAAAATTGACACCTGTCAAAATGTCATATTAAAATAAAAATTACGTGTGTAAAGTACCACTTACCGCACGACCTGTATATTTCCAGATGGGGCGACTACCGGAAATGTGACACGCCCAAAATAACCGTCGACCATATGCTCAAACACATCCAAGATACCCATACGGTAAGTTGGCTCCGCCCTAAAACCGAAAAAATTCAAATTTGATTGGTCGAAAACTGTCATTTGATTGGTTCAAATTTTTCTCTAGGACATTGACTACATAATGTGGACTGGCGACTTGCCCCCGCACGACATCTGGAACCAAACCCGAGAAGAAAACGTCAAAATTTTGAAGGAAACTGTCAAACAAATGTCAACGATGTTTCCCGGGATACCGATCTTCCCGGCACTAGGAAACCACGAGGCGGCACCTGTCAACAGGTAATTGGTTTCCAACCAAAGTGACGTCATTTTTTTTTTGCATCGATGAAAATTTCAACCGGTGAATTCTTGAAAACGTCCATTTTCGGTTGAAATTTTTAACCTAATGAAAACCAAATTAACCGGTGAACGCTTAAAAACGCCCAAAATCAAGCAGTGAACAGTGAAAAATGCCCATTTTGGGTTGAAATTTTCAACCAAATCAAGCAGTGAACACTGAAAAACGTCCATTTACGTCATTTTCTAGCTTCCCGCCTCCATTTGTCAAAACACCGGACACGTCAATCGCCTGGCTGTACGACGAATTAGACGTCCAATGGCGGAAATGGCTACCGAGTTCAGTGAGTACCACGGTACGACGTGGCGCTTTCTACTCGGTACTGGTACGACCCGGTTTCCGACTCATTTCCCTCAACATGAATTATTGCAACAACAAAAACTGGTGGCTACTGCTCAACAGTACCGACCCGGCTACAGAGCTACAGTGGTTCATTTACGAACTACAATCGGCCGAATTTAACGAAGAAAAAGTACACGTCATTGGTGAGTAGTCTGACAGGGCTGTCATTTGTCAAAAACTGGTTTGGAGCTGAGTGACTTCTTTTTTTTTAAATGTCAAAAAATGACAAGAATTTTGACATTTCCAGGTCATATTCCGCCCGGTCACTCCGACTGTCTAAAAGTCTGGTCGAGGAATTACTACGCGATAATAAGTCGATACGAATCGACGATAATTTCGCAATTTTTCGGGCACACGCACTACGACGAATTCGAAGTTTTCTACGATCACAAAGAGTTGACGAGGCCGATAGGGGTCGCTTATGTCGGGCCGTCAGTGTCGCCCTACTACGACTTGAATCCGGGCTACAGGATTTACTACGTGGACGGGGACCATGAGAAAACTACCAGGGTGAGTCGTTGGAACGGATTTGAAACTCGTTGAAACGTTTTTTTTTTTCCAAAATGTTCCAACACATTAAAAAACTCGTTCCAATGCTGTTTAAAAACATTAAAAGTCATTGGAGTGAGTTTTTTGAACTGTTTCAACTAGTTCCAAAAAGTTTATAAAGTTCCAACGAAGTCGAAAACACATTCCAATGCTATTTGGAACCATTAAAACGCGTTGGAATGAGTTTTTGAATTGTTCCAAAAAATTTATAATGTTCCAACATATTTAAATACCCGTTCCACTATTATTTAGAAGCCTTAAAACTCGTAAAAATGTGTTTTTTGGATTGTTCCAACGAGTTCCAAAAATGTTATAAAGTTCCAACGAATTCTAAAACTTGTTCCAATGCAATTTAAAAACATTAGAACTCGTTAAAGTGAGTTTTTCGAACTGTTCCAACAAGATCCAACGAGTTCTAAAAACTTTAGAAGGTTCCAACATATTCAAATACTCGTTCCAGTAATATTCAAAAGCATTAAAACTCGTTAAAGTGAGTTTTTTAGACTGTTCCAACAAGTTCCAAAAAGTTTATAATGTTCCAACGAATTCGAAAACTTGTTCCAATGCAATTTAAAAACATTAGAGCTCGTTAAAGTGAGTTTTTCGAACTATTCCAACGAGTTCCAAAAAGTTTATAACGTTCCAACATATTCAAATACTCGTTCCAGTAATATTTAGAAGCATTAGAACTCGTTAGAGTGAGTTTTTTAGACTGTTCCAACAAGTTCCAAAAAGTTTATAATGTTCCAACGAATTCGAAAACTTGTTCCAATGCAATTTCAAAACATTAGAGCTCGTTAAAGTGAGTTTTTCGAACTATTCCAACGAGTTCCAAAAAGTTTATAACGTTTCAACATATTCAAATACTCGTTCCATTAATATTTAGAAACATTAGAACTCGTTAAAGTGAGTTTTTTGGATTGTTCCAACGAGTTCCAAAAACTTTATAAAATTCCAACGAATTCAAATACTCATTCCAGTATTATTTAAAAGCATTAGAACTTATTAAAATGAGTTTTTGGACTGTTCCAAATCCAAAAAGTTCAAAAACTCGTTCCAATATTGTTTAGGAGCATTAGAACTCGTTGGAGTGAGTTTTTTGGACTGTTCCAACGAGTTCCAAAAAGTTTATAACGTTCCAACAAATTCAAATACTAGTTCTAGTAGCATTAGAACTCGTTAAAGTGAGTTTTTTGGACTGTTCCAACGAGTTCCAAAAGATTTATAAAGTTCCAACGAGTTTTGAAACGTTTCAAAAATGTTCAAAATTAACAAAAACTCGTTCCAAAGTTGTTAAAGCTCGTTGAAACAAAATTTTTAAACTGTTCCAACGAGTTCCAAAAGATTTATAAACTTCCAACGAGTTTTGAAACTTTTCAAAAGTGTTCAAAATTAACAAAAACTCGTAACAAAGTTATTAAAGCACGTTGAAACGAAATTTTTAAACTGAGTTCCAAAAAATGTATAAAGTTTCAACAAATCTAAAAAGTTCGAAAGCTCGTTCTAATGCTGTTTAGGAACATTGGAACTCGTTGAGGTGAGTTTTTTGGACTGTTCCAACGAGTTCCAAAAAAATTTAAAACGTTTCAATTTACTTTAAAATTCGTTCCAATACTATTTGATTTCATTAGAACTCGTTGGAATGAGTTTTTTGGACTGTTCCAACAAGTTCCAAAAGGAGATTTGAAATGTTTCAAAAATGTTGAAAATTAACAAAAACTCGTTAAAAAGTTGTTAAAGCTTTTTTTAAAATGTTCCAACGGGTTCCCGAAAATTTATAAAGTTTCAACAAATCCAAAAAGTTTGAAAACTTGTTCCAATAGAAAGTTTCCGTTTCACAATGCCAATTAGAAACATTAGAACTCGTTAGAGCCAGTTTTTTGAACTATTTCAAAAAGTTCCAAAAAAATTATATCGTTTCAATTAATTCGAAAACTTGTTCCAATGCGTCATTGGAACTCATTGGAGTGAGTTTTTTTGGACTGTTTAAACAAGTTCCAAAAAGTTTCGACAAATTCGAAAAGTCGTTCCAATACGTGTTTGGAACATTGGAACTCGTTGGAGTGATTTTTTTGGACTGTTCCAATAAATTTTAAATTGAGAAAAACTCGTTTGAAACTTGTTGAGAAGAATGTTTTGCTGTTCCAACAAATTCGTTGGAACTTGATAAATTTTTTGGAACTCGTTGAAAAATTTCAAAAATTTTGTTTAAACAAGTTTCAATAACTTTGGAATAAGTTTTTGTGAATTTTGAATATTTTTGAACCGTTTAAAAACTCGTTGGAACTTCCAAAACTTTTTGGAACTCGTTGAAACTGTCCTAAAAACTCATTCCAACGAGTTCCAATGCTTGTAAACAACATTGGAACGAATTTTCGAATTCATTGGAACTTGATACATTTTTTGGAACTCGTTGGAACATTTCAAAAATTTCGTTTCAACAACTTTGGAACAAATCTTTGTGAATTTTGAATATTTTTGAAACGTTTCAAAACTCATTGGAACTTAAAAAACTTTTTGGAACCCGTTGAAACAGTCCTAAAACTCACTCCAACGAATTCCAATGCTTGTAAACAACATTGGAACGAATTTTCAAATTCGTTGGAACTTAATAAATTTTTTGGAACCTTTCAAAAATTTCGTTTCAACGAGTTTCAATAACCTTGGAATAAGCTTTTGTGAATTTTGATTTTTTTTAAAACGTTTCAAAACTCGTTGGAACTTTAAAAACCTTTTAGAACCCGTTGAAACAGTCCTGAAACTCACTTTAACGAGTTTCAATGCTTGTAAACAACATTGGAACAAATTTTCAAATTTATTGGAACTTGATAAATTTTTTAGAATACATATTTCAAAAATTTTGGAATAAGTTTTTGTGAATTTTGAATATTTTTGAAACGTTTTAAAACTTGTTGAAACTTTAGAAACCTTTTGGAACTCGTTGAAACAGTCCTAAAACTCACTCTAACAAGTTCTAATGCTTGTAGACAACAATGGAACGAATTTTCGAATTAGTTGGAACTTTATAAATTTTTTGAAACATTTCAAAAATTTCGTTTTAATGAGTTTCAATAACTTTGGAATAAGTTTTTGTGAATTTTGAATATTTTTGAAATATTCCAAAACTTGTTGAAACTTTAAAAATCTTTCAGAACCCGTTGAATTAGTCTTTAAAACTCACTCCAACGAGTTCTAATGCTTGTAAATAACATTGGAACAAATTCTGGAATTCGTTGGAACTTGATAAATTTTTTGGAACGTTTCAAAAATTTCGTTTTAACGAGTTAAAAAAAGTTTGGAATAAGTTTGTGTGTATTTTGAATATTTTTGAAACGTTTTGAAACTCGTTGGAACTTTAAAAACCTTTTGAACCCGTTGAAACAGTCCTGAAAACTCACTGCAACGAGTTTTAATGCTTGTAAACAACATTGGAACGGTTTTTCAAATTTGATGGAACTTCAAAAATATTTTGGAACATTTAAAAAATTTCGTTTTAAAGAGTTTCAATAATTTTAGAATAGGTTTTTGTTAATTTTGAATATTTTTGAAACGTTTCAGAACTCGTTGGAACTTTAAAAACCTTATGAAACAGTCCTAAAAACACTACAACGAGTCCCAATACTTCTAAACATCATTGGAACGAGTTTTTGAATTCGTTAGAACTTTATAAACTTTTTGGAACTCGTTGAAACATTTCAAAAATTTCTATTTAACAACTTTGGAACAATTTTTTTTTTAATTTTGAATATTTTTGAAACGTTTCAAAATTCGTTGGAACTTTAAAATCCTTATGAAACAGTCCTAAAAACTCACGCTAACGAGTCCTAATGCTTCTAAACACCATTGGAACGAGTTTTCGAATGCGTTGGAACTTTATAAACTTTTTGGAACTCGTTGCAACATTTCAAAAAATTTCTATTTAACAACATTGGAACAAATTTTCGTGAATTTTCAATATTTTTAAAACGTTTAAAACCTAAAAAACCTTATGAAACTCGTTGGAACAGTCCTAAAAACTCACTCCAACGAGTCCCAATGCTTCCAAACATCATTGGAACAACTTTTCGAATTCGTTGGAACTTTTTGGAACTCGTTGGAACAAGTTTCAACCCTCGAAATTTTCACTTTTAGGCCGTAGTCGACCACGAAACTTGGACCATGAACTTGCGAGAAGCCAACCTTTATGGGTACCCAATCTGGTTCCAACTCTACAGCGCCCGTCAATCATTCGGCATGGACGCACTGCGCCCGCGCGACTGGGACGACCTCGTCGAGCGCATGACCAACGACCCGAAACTGTTCGAGTTGTTTTACAAGTAAGTTTGACAGATCTGTCAATTGAATTTGCTAACAACGAATCTACTCAAACTGATTTCTTGACAGCTGATTCACAATTGACATCTGTCAAATTTTTTTGACAATTGACATCTGTCAACTTTTTGACAGGTACTACTACAAAGCGAGTCCGGTACGACCTGTTTGCGACCAAGAGTGCAAAAAGAAGATTTTGTGCGACTTGCACTCGGGTCGATCCCATGATCGAAAAAATTTGTGTCAATCGATAGAATCTCGTATCGATTCTACATCGACAACATGGAAGGATTGGTTTTACAATACGATATCGGTTTCGTAAGTAGTAGTGTGAACTTGCCTTTAGCTTTAATGGTTTTTGGCTCTTCTTTTTTTTGTAAATATTTTTCTTCTTTTTTTTTATAGTCAGGTGTAGGCGAGGCTTTAAAGGCGCTTGAATGTCAAACGGTACACGATCTGTCAAATGTCAATTGTCATAATTAAATTGATTTTTTTTTTGTATATAGGGTTTCAGTGATCATGTCGATACCGAGGCTGACGATGCAAGTGCCGAAATACGTCTTAGGATTAGGATAAATAAATAAATAAATAAATAAATAAATAATCAGGCTGTGTAGGACTGTATTTTTGTAAATAAAGCTTTATTTTTCTGTAAATGAGTTTTTTTTTTTTTGTTGCGATGTAAACGCACCTTAAGGGTTTCAATGTATTTTTCATAGTTGGTTTGGTTGGTTATAGATGGCGCTCTGTATCGACTCAATGGAAATGGCTTGGTTTACATCGTTAATTTCGATCTGGTTGTCGCGCGACAGATACACAACGTGTCAAATGTCATTTGTCAATTTCAAGTAGGTCTTGGACGTTTTATAATAAAAAGATTTAATTTGCACCGAGTTTATTTTCATCTTTTTCTCTCGACTTATAAAAAACAGAGATAGAAATACTTTTTTTTTCAATAGTAATTTTTGCCGCTCAATTTTAGTAGATATTTGGAAATTTTGTGACATTTGGTAACATTGCACAATGGTTTTATTGGCTGTTAAACGCGTTTTTCTCTAAATTTTAGGGAAATTGAAAAAAAAAAATTGCCGTTTTTCTCTTTTTAAATTTTTACCTGTAAATTCTGAAATTTTATGACATTTGGCAACACCGCGTAATCGGTTCAATATCGGTTTTATTGGCTGTCGAAACCGTTTTTCCCTAGATTTTAGGAAAATTTCAAAAAAGTTGCAACTGGTATGTTAGTGATTGTCGATTTTTTCCCTAGATTTAGGGATTTTTTTTATTTGCACCTGTAAACCTTGAAATTTTGTGACATTTGGCAACAACGTGCAATCGTTTTGGTATTAGTATTATTGGCCGTCAATTTTTTTTCCATTACCGGCTCTTGAATTCGAAATTTAGAGATTGTAGCAACAAAAATTTCTTGTAGCAACAATCGATTTTTTGGAAATTTGAATGTAGCAACACAGATTTTTCAATTTGTTACTATTACCGGCCTTTGAATTCGAAATTTGAAGATTGTAGCAACAAAAATTTCTTGTAGCAACAATCGATTTTTTGGAAATTTGTATGTAGCAACACAGATTTCTCGAGTTGCTTCCATTACCGACTCTTGAAAGCGAAATTTGAAGGTCGTAGCAGCAAAAATTACTTGTAGCAACAATCGATTTTCGTAAATTGTATGTAGCAACACAAAATTCTCAATTTGTTTCTATAACCTGCTCTTGAATTCGAAAATTGAATGTTGTAGCAACAAAAATTTCTTGTAGCAACAAACGATAATTGAGTAATGTATTTATGTAGCAACACAGATTTTTTATTATTTCTATTATTGGCTCTTAAATTCGAAATTGGGAACTTGTAACAATAAAAATTTCTTATAGCAACAATCGATAATCTAAAAAATTGTATGTAGCAACACAGATTTTTCGATTCGTTTTTTTTTCAGCTTTTAAATTCGAAATTCTGAAGTTGTAGCAACACGGAATTTTTGTAGCAACGCGATTTTTTTGTAGCAACACTAAAAATTGACAGTATAATTTGTAAATTTTGATGTAGACGAAATATTCGAAAGTTGTATCACAAAATTTTCTGTAGCAAACCCCAAATTTGTGTGATTTTGCTACAGAAAATTTCGTGTAGCAACTGGAAATTTTTTGTAGCAACATATTTTTTGTAGCAACACTCAAATTTGACACAAAAATTTGGAAATCTTGTTGTAGCAACATACTTTGTTGCTATTTACGACTTTTTAAAATAAATTTTGAAAATGTAGCAACACGAATTTTTCTGTAGAAAAATTTGAATTTGAACGTTTTTGGGTTTTTTAACTTGTAGCAAAAATTTTTTCACTTGCAGCAACTCGAAAATTTTTGTAGCAACATAATTTTTTCTGTAGCAACACTTAAATTTGACATAGAAATTTGGCAATTTTGTTGTAGTAACATATCTTGTAGCTATTAAGGAGTCCTTAAAGTAAATTTTGAAAATGTAGCAACACGAATTTTTCTGTAGCAAAACCCAAATTTGAGCGAATTTGGGTTTTTTAATCTCTGTAGTAAAGTTTTTTTTAGTTTTAGTAACTCGACTTTTTTTTGTAGCTACATATTTTTTTTTTGTAGCAACACTCAAATTTGACATAGAAATTTGGTAATTTTGTTGTAGCAACATACCTTGCAGTTATTGACGACTTCTTAAAGTAAATTTTGAAAATGTAGCAACATGAATTTTTCTGTAGCAACATTCAAATTTGAACGTCTTTGGGTTTTTCAACCTGTAGCAAATTTTTTTTCACTTGTAACAACTCGAAAATTTTTGTAGCAACATATTTTTTTCTGTAGCAACACTCAAATTTGACATAAAAATTTGGTAATTTTGTTGTAGCAACATACCTTGCAGTTATTGACGACTCCTTAAAGTAAATTTTGAAAATGTAGCAACATGAATTTTTCTGTAGCAACACTCAAATTTGAACGTCTTTGGGTTTTTTAACCTGTAGCAAATTTTTTTCACTTGTAGCAACTCGAAAATTTTTGTAGCAACATATTTTTTTGTAGCAACATGCAAATTTGTCATAAAAATTTGGTAATTTTGTTGTAGCAACATACCTTGCAGTTATTGACGACTTCTTAAAGTAAATTTTGAAAATGTAGCAACATGAATTTTTCTGTAGCAACACTCAAATTTGAACGTCTTTGGGTTTTTCAACCTGTAGCAAATTTTTTTTCACTTGTAACAACTCGAAAATTTTTGTAGCAACATATTTTTTTCTGTAGCAACACTCAAATTTGACATAAAAATTTGGTAATTTTGTTGTAGCAACATACCTTGCAGTTATTGACGACTCCTTAAAGTAAATTTTGAAAATGTAGCAACATGAATTTTTCTGTAGCAACACTCAAATTTGAACGTCTTTGAGTTTTTCAACCTGTAGCAAATTTTTTTTCATTTGTAGCAACTCGAAAATTTTTGTAGCAACATATTTTTTTGTAGCAACATGCAAATTTGACATAAAAATTTGGTAATTTTGTTGTAGCAACATACCTTGCAGTTATTGACGACTCCTTAAAGTAAATTTTGAAAATGTAGCAACATGAATTTTTCTGTAGCAACACTCAAATTTGAACGTCTTTGAGTTTTTCAACCTGTAGCAAATTTTTTTTCATTTGTAGCAACTCGAAAATTTTTGTAGCAGCATATTTTTTCTGTAGCAACACTCAAATTTGACATAAAAATTTGGTGATTTTGTTGTAGCAACACACCTTGCAGTTATTGACGACTCCTTGAAGTAAATTTTGAAAATGTAGCAACATGAATTTTTCTGTAGCAACACTCAAATTTGAACGTCTTTGGGTTTTTTAACGTGTAGCAAATTTTTTTTCACTTGTAGCAACTCGAAAATTTTTGTAGCAACATAATTTTTTTGTAGCAACATTCAAATTTGACATAAAAGTTTGGTAGTTTTGTTGTAGCAACATACCTTGTTGCTAAAACGATTCTTAGAAGTGAATTTTAAAGTTGTAGCAATACGATTTTTTTGTAGCAACACTAAATTTTCTTTTGTAATATTTACATTTGACAATAAAATAAATATAGTCTGATGTAAATGACATTTCGAAAGTTGTAGCAACACGAATTTTTTTGTAGCAACATTATTTTTTTTATAGTCACACTCGAATTTGATAGCAAAATTAGTTTTATTTACGAATTTTTTTTGTAGCAACACTTTAATTTGACAACAAAATTAGTCCTATTTTGATGTAGGTGATATTTTGAAGTTGTAGCAACATGGCATTTTTTGTAGCAACAATATTTTTTTGTAGCAAAACTCGAATTAGACAGCAAAATTAGTTTTATTTTCATGTAGGTAATATTTCGATGTTGTAGCAAAATGAAAATTTGTGTAGCAACATCAAAATCTCTGTAGCAACATTTAAATTTGATAGTAGAATTATAATTTTTTAATTTCGATCATGTTTCGAAGTTGTAGTAACATAAAAAAAATTGTAGCAACATTATTTTTTTGTAGCAACACGAAAAATTTCTTGTAGCAACATCAGATTTTTCATAGCAACACCCAAATTTGATTGTAAAATTATTATATTGTGATGTAGATGTCATTTTCAAATTGTAGCAACACGAAATTTCTTGAAGAAACACTAAAATTTTTGTAGCAACACTCGAATTTGATAGCAAAATTGGGATATTTCAATGTAGGTGAAATTTCTAAGTTGTACAGATGCTGATGAGCTACACATTAAATGTCACTTGTCAATAGAATACAAGACAAAATATTTGAATATACAAAACGTCACTTGTCAAGTGGTGAACTTTTTTGCGTACCGAGTATATTTCCATCTCTTTCATTGCAAGCAAATCAATTAGAAATCATAAACTAATCAATGTCAAAAATATAAAATCAATTAAACCAACAAATGTCATCTGTCAAAAGTCATTTTTATGTTGCCAACAACATTAACTTTTCCCAAAGAAAAGCAGGGAAAATGAATCATTTTCCTCTTGCGTTTGCGATTTATTGCGGTCAGACTCTAAAGAAGGGGCGTGTACCGCCTAAGAGCGAAAAGGCCAACAAGAGGTAAAGAATTACATGTGATTTTGTCACATAATAGATAGTATATTTTACTCGACAGAGGGCGTTGCCGGCTTTTGGGCCATTTGTCATCAAACAGGAAAAATTATTATTAAGAATCCCTATACATATAAGAGTTTCAGCTGTCTGGGATGCAGATTTTAGGCCCACACCTGGTTGCAAGGGGGACCTTAAATCCGACAACCACGCCCTCTTAATTCGCTTCAGTACCGTGACTTTTCAAGCCGGATCGGATTTTGTTTAAAAGACTTTATTTGTACAATTGTCAATCAAACGTCATCTGTCAATTACGCGACAATAATCGCTTTGTAAAACATTTATTTGGAGCGCCAGAGTATCATTGTTTCAAAAGGGCCCCCTTTTAACTTAACGCAAATTGAGAAGCTGTCAAATTTGCATAATTCGACACGGAAATTTACTCCCTCCGACTAATTTATGAGTGACTCTTCCATAAGAGGGTCGGAGTTATACACTGAAAGGCCGCCAACAGATTAATTTTCGACTCTTGTGATGTCGGTAAAGAAGGAATTTTTATTTTCACTGAATTTGGGCA